AGATTATATTCCTTTTGCATTGAAATAATAACTGAAGCAAAACCTCCTTCAGCCTTTCACTCCAAAGATCAAAATACCAATTCTCTTCACTGTACTCCATACTAACTATCCAACAACATCCTAAAATTTATTTCCTTTCTTCTCCTTGCATTTACTTGAAAATGTAACAACATTGTAAGGAGAAATTTACTTTTTGGTCACTCATGGAAGTGAAAGGGTTAAGTCCACCCAGAGAATCCTATCAAGACAATAATTGCTAAGACATTTGACAAGTACATCAAAACATTTTGGGATTTTTAATGAAACTGATACTTAGTTTGCAACTCATACCATCTTTGTGTTTCAAGGTAATTTGATATTATCAACTGAGTTAATAACATAAATCCACCACCATAAATAGTCACAAGGCTGACATTTTGAGTGTTGGCCCTTTGTCAAAGCAAATGGCGAAGGGCTAATGCATGAAACTTCAGCTTTGTAACTCTTTATGATGGCCAATTTACGTTATCAACTCAGTTGACAAAAACCAGATTACCCTGTTATACTCTCCCACTGAAGCAGCACCACAGTGTTTTTAGAAAGTTACTCCTTTATCCATCTTTCTGTTGTTTACAGGACAGCCCACCATAACAAGAATGTGTCCTGGCTGAGAAGAACTGAATACATTTCAACTGAGTACAACAGAAGTCGCACCAGTAATGAAATGGTGGAGACAAAGTGAGTCATGTTCTTGTGGTATGTGTGACATTTGTCTATATTTTGTAAATTTATGTATTAAGTTTTTTTGCCTGTTTCCAGGGTTGGATTCAATGTGAAAAAGAAATTCCAAGGCACAGATATTTACAAGGTGACTTATAATTCACTAAATATAAACTTATCTTTTATAATTTAGTTTATGAGGAACAAAGAAGCAGCAGTAAGGCTCAAGTTTTTTCCTCTTTATTTTTCTTGTAGGACCGTGAAAGTCAGATTTCTGCCATTGAAAGCACATTTGATGCTGCTCAGAGACCAGTAAGTGACCATGAACGTCTAAAGACATTTGAACAAAGGCCCCCATTTGGAATGAAAACGTCCTTGAACAGTTATTGTTAGTGGAATTATGTTCCGAGAAACAAAGAAATTTTTTTTTACGTGTGGGTTATTATGCAGGTAAACTGATGAAAAGAGCACCCTATTTAGTTAAGCATTTGGCAGCTTTTTCCAGGGCATATTCAGTCATGTGGTGCATTACTGTACAACCAGGTCTGCATTGACCTAAAAAACCTCATGGATTTATAGAGTTTGATAATTACTCTTGACAATTGTTAAGCATAGCTTCAGTTCTTGTATGTTACAAATCCTTGTTCATATAGACTTGAAAAATCATTTTAGTGTTTTGAAGGTTCATCCTGTTTAAAGAAAGTGTTGAAGCCTCTGTGACCTGCTTTCCAAACTTTGTCTGAATTTTTTCAGATTCTACGCCATCCAACAAAGCCTGGTGTAACACCTCTGGAAGTTCTTCCAGTGTTTCCAGATTTCCAGGTAAATAAATAATTGTATAATTGTTCTTCAGTGACTTTTCGCACTTAATGTGTTTTTTACTAACTTGTCATTCGTTAATTTACAAGAGGTCAGTAGATTAAGCATTTGATTTTAAGGGGTGCAACAGAATTAAACAAAACCATTATGTCCCAAACTTTTTGGTCATTTGGCCACAAATGGTTAACATTTGATATCTCCTTGATAGTGATTACAACTGTAAATATGCAATCACAGAAATGTAGAGTGACTTCACCTGGTTTGCAAAGTGTTTAAGGGCCAGTCATTTTAACAGAGTTTAGCTGTTGTTTTGCAAAACAGCATTCTAATCCATCTTCAGTTTAGCCGAACCTTTTATCTGAACATTTATTTTTATGAACTGTGTCAAGAGGGGTGAAAGCTGACAGTGGAGGGAAATTTATTTCATCAAATCAACCCTCTTATGGAAAATCACAGAGGTCTACTGCTTGCATGAAATGGCAGTTTTGGTTAGATCTTATGTAAATAACCAAGCCTGTGATTAACTTTAAAAAAACTTATTAGACTAACATGGTCCCTGTCTAATAGGAAGGGAATTTTTGAATCCAGTCTACTTTACTTGACTCAACCGAAGGCTCAAAATTAATATTTTTCTCCACAAACTGCATCATACTTGTTATTATTAATAGTTATTATTAATCAACTTATAAGTGTTTTCAATTTTTATTTCTAGATGTGGGCTCAGCCCTGTGCTCATGTTATATTTGATACTGACCCTACCCCAAGAGGTAGAGGAGGTCCAGCAGAGGATGAAGAAATGTCGCAGGCAATGATCAGGTAAAGGTCATTTAGCTCAATCAGGGATTCCTCTATTGTGACAAGTTTGCAGTCAGTGCTGTGCTACAGAAACCAGCTCATTGCTATACCTGATACTAAATGCCTTCTTTTCTAAGCAGTATTTACTAAATCACATTTTAAGTTCAACTGACTATTGTTTTTTTCCTCCTGTAGAGGTATGGTGGATGCCAGTGGAGATCAATTTGTTGCATATTTCCTTCCCTCAAAAGAGACAATCAGGAAACGAAAAAGAGACCAAGAAGGTGAAACAGAATACATGGAGGAGGAAGAGTGAGTATTTTTACATAAAGTATCCATTTACTCTGTAAAATACAACTTTAACCCTTTAACTTCCAGATCAAATTTCTAATTCTCCTCATTGTCAACCATACAATTCTTGTAACATTAGTTCAAAGAATTTAGTATTGGATCAACTGATTATCCCCAAATTGATAGTTTTCTTTATTCTCATCACTTATCTGGTTAATATTGTGCTGATATTGTAAGAAGAAATTCTCCCAAGATCTGATTGTTAATTCTCCCCTTCAGCTGCTGCACACATCCTTAGTTACAAGAATCTGGGTCAGATTAAGAAACAGTTTCTACCTGATACATTTTTAATTGCATTAAACATACAGGTGTTGAGAATTTTTTAACCCCTTGAGTCTTCATTTCCAAATTAGATCAATACCATGGAGATCCCTTTTTTTCTGTACATCAGATCCTGCATGGGAATACTTATTTTATTTTGTTTTTCACAGATATGAGTACAAAATGGCTCGTGAATACAATTGGAATGTAAAGAACAAGGCCACCAAGGGTTATGAGGTAAAGACGAAAGGGTTTGAGTCACTTTTGAGATGTTTAATTGACATAATTGTTCTCCTGTTTGATGTTCTTCTTTCTGTAGCAGTTTCAGTGAGAATAACTTAATTTGCTCTTATCATTTCTAGGAAAACTACTTCTTTGTGTTCCGAGAGGGAGAAGGAGTTTTCTATGATGAACTGGTAACAAGGTAAGGTCTACGTTCTGATTTACCACCCTAACATCAGTATGCATACTCTTTGTACTGTTCCCTATACACTCCCTTAGGTGCTGAAGAGGAGAATTTGTTTCATAATCCAGAGCTTCTCATTCTCATGACCTTAATGTGTGATTTGGGAGTGATGTTGTAAGGAGAAATTGGATGTTAATCACCCTTTGGGGTCAAGGGCTCTTTGATATTGAATATGAATTTTTTACTTTTCAGTACACAGTGATTCATAGATTAAATTTCATTGCAGAGTTCACCTGAGCAAGAGACGTGCTCGTGGTGGTGCTGGTGGGGTGCAATCTGCAGTCTCTCAACTAGTGGTGAAACACAGGGAATTGAATGAAAATGAAAAGAAGGCACAGGTGAGTGAGGAGCCATCAAAAAGAGCTCAGCCACAGCCACCAGCTAGTCTGCCATCATATCCCTGCTACTTTTCCCTAATTTTGCCATAATTGGTGATAAAAATAACATTCAATCATTGATCAGAAGTCCTTTAATTTGAAGAAATTAGTACAGCAGCCATTTTCCAGTGGGCTTATGTGTTTCATAAGTTTATGTTGTGAGGAGAGAGAAAATCTGTTCATCTGACTCACGATGTAAGAATTGAATAATCAATTGTATATGTATATTGATCAGGAAAATTTGACTGCTATCTTACTAGTCTTCATCAGGCACCAAGGTCAAAAGTTTACATGTCGCTATTTATAGCACCTTGGTTTGTGTTATTACTTATGATAATGGTTTTGGTTCTTCAGGAAATGCGTATGAATCAGCTGGACACAGCTGTGGCAGAAGAGGAAGAGGAAGAAGAAGAAGAGGGTGATGAGGACGATGAAGGTGAAGAAGCTGCTGAAATTGAAGAAGAGGATGGAAACCTAGAAAATGATAATGATGACGAGGATGAAGATTTAAAAGAGGATGATAATGAAGCAGAACAAGAGAGCAATGATGAAAAAGATGAGAAAGACAGCAGTGAAGAAGATGGGTCAAGTCCAGAAGAGTCCAACAGTGAAGAGGATGAAGATGATGTTGAGTGATGAAGTTCAACACTTCTTTTGAAACATGTCTCATAAAAACTGCAGAAATTTTGATGAACTGGTAACCATACACTTGTAGTTTTCTTAACTTATTTCTTAGTGCCAGTATCTGGTCAGAAAAGGGTAGCAGTGCAATGCATTCTGAACAACTAGCATTCAACATGGGTGTTGCTGCTTCTGATAACTGACTCTTTCCATCCAGGCAATGGCATTTTCTCTATTTAGCTCTAGTTGCGAATGATGCCAAACAGACACATAGCAAATAGATTTCATGTTGCCGTGCAGGGAGTGTATCTCTGATATTCTTACCAAAATTTGACGTCTTCTGTAATTTATTTCTGTACAGATCCAAGGCAACATGAAATCTATCTGTTTATATGATAAAAAAAGCAAAATGTTGTTAATGAAGATGTCATCTATGCATCAGTCCTCCAATAGATCACAAGTAAACACCAATCAGAATGTGTGTGCAATTCAGCCTTGACCCTTTAACTTCCAGAAGTGATTAACATGTAACTTCTCCCTATAATACCCATATATTATCTAGCAAACAGGTAATGAGAATACTCAAACGTATTAGGTTAAAGTTGTTATCTTGATCTAACACCAAATTCTCCCAGCTACTTTACAAAGAAAATGTTTAGCAGCTAGAGGGGAGAATTAGAAATCAGATCATAGGAGTTAAACAGTTAAAGATTGTTTGCTTATTGGTTTACTATGGATATTTCTCACTAGAGTCTTCATAAACTTTTCTAAGTTGGTTTGTTTTTAATATCAAGCAGATATTTACATGACGGTCATTACTTTTAATTTCATTTTGGCTCCTAGAGCTTCTTTCAAGCATAGCAAGTCACAAGCACAGCCCAAATAAATTGGAGAGTTATTGTAATTTGCAGTTTCATGGTTTTCTCAGTATTGTACATTCATAACAAAAACTCAACCAAACATACAAAAAAACCTGTCCTTCTGTATGTATCCTTGACAGTTATAAATAAACAGGACCTTATCATGTATTCTTTGTTCTCTCTAACTTTGTTTGCAGGGCAATTAGTCTCTCTGTTGTTTACAAACTCAATAACTAAGTTGTTTGAATACCATCTGTTCACTGGCATGGCTTAAAATCATTGTGCTTAAAAAAACTGTCTAGACCAGCATATTTCTTTTAAGTGGTATCAATGAAACAGCTAAGTATTGCATGAACTTTCTATGACTGTTACACTAAGCAGTATTCATTCTCACTCTGTTTGTAAACATCACTGTTCTGTAGAAGTTTGTCAAGTGATTCCTCAACCTGTTTCATTGTTACATGTTGAAACTTGTTTGAGGAATGAAGGACATCTATAATGGCCCATTTAGAGATTGAGAAACCTGATGGTTCTAAAAGACAAAGGAGCAAACTTCATTTCAATGGGTATGGTCATAACTGTTGCTGTGACTTCTTAAGTGGTAAGTACTCCAGCCAAAACTGCTGACTGACCAACTGACTGAATCACTGAGGGACTAACTGAATGACTCACTGACTGACTGATTCACTGACACTCGGGTTATAAACTGGCTAGCTAAATGATGAAATTACTGGGTCAGAGGCAGTTGTTGATTGAATGATGAAGTGACCCACTTACCATCAGGCCAGCTAGGCAGGTATTATGAATAGGAAGGGATTGGGTAAATTCTCTATCTTGAAGTTTACCTGCAATTTTGCTCATTGCCTTTAAAATTGCAGATCCAAGATTGTGCTCATGACTTATAACCTACAAAAAATAATTATGAACACGAGGTACAATAAGAAAGAAGACCAAAAACTACAAAGTCATTGAAAACTCTGGCAGCCAGAATATTCTTTGATTTTCAAGCTCCCTTATACACAACAGAGGTGCATATCAAGTATGGACAGGTAACAGCCAGAATATTCTCTGATTTTCAAGCTCCCTTGTATACTATGGAGGTGCACATCAAGTATGGACAGGTAACAGCCAGAATATTCTCTGATTTTCAAGCTCCCTTGTATACAATGGAGGGGCATATCAAGTATGGACAGGTAACAGCCAGAATATTCTCTGATTTTCAAGCTCCCTTGTATACTACGAAGGTGCATATCAAGTATGGACAGGTAACAGCCAGAATATTCTCTGATTTTCAAGCTCCCTTGTATACAATGGAGGAGCATATCAAGTATGGACAGATAACAGCCAGAATATTCTCTGATTTTCAAGCTCCCTTGTGTACAATGGAGGTGCATATCAAGTATGAACAGGTAACAGAAAGAGTTTTATACCTGGTAAAGATCTCTTCTTGAGTCTTTAAGATACACCAAGCCATCTTTCTCAAGATCTTTGATTATATGTCTAATAACTTTCTTTGCTTCATGAGAATCATTCCATATTTTGGCTTCCTCCTGAAAGAGAATGAAAAGAGAGAAAAAACATTTCAGCTAAGAAAAGATTGTGAGACATTCACTATTGTGTCAGAAAGTGGAGTTCAGAAATCCATTATTAACTGGAATTTGGGGTCCCACAGTTTAACGTAACAGCAAGCTTTTGTACCTTAAGCAAAGTAAAAGTGGGACTCTCAAAATGTTTTGAAGTAGGTGTCAGACTTGGCAAAAGTAGGGGATTGGGAAAAGTTCATTAAGGGCCAAAAGGTGATTATTTTGACCGGAGTAACTGTTGACATGTGATAAAGTAGGACTTGAGTTTTATACTTAGTTTTATTTACCAGGACTCTGGCAATCACCAGCTTGTTTTATAACCCCTGTTTAGGTCAAATTATTATTTTTTTGAATTTAAAACCTTGGCCATTAATTTGAACACTGTGTACAAATCAAATACAGTTAGCTCTCTTGAAAAGCCATCCTCAGAAATTGGAAAAAGTGGCCATCAGTATAACTGTCAGCTCTCAAGAATTATTCCTACAAGAGGAAACTAAAGAAAAAATAGGGTGGATGTCCACTTATGGAGAGTCATATGTCAGTCTCTCTTTAACTCCATGAACCCTAACATCAGTATACAAATTCTCCATTCTGTTTTCTATTCATTTCCCTAGGTGATGCCAAGGAGTATTTTTACAACAATCAAGAGCTTCTTAATGGGTGATCATTTCCTTTATTCTCATGACCTTAATGTTTGTGCTAGGCATTGTATTGTAAGGAGAAATTAGATGTTAGTCACTCTTAGGGGTTAATGGATTAATATCAAAAGAACATACAGCTTGCTTTCTTGCAGAAAAATGGAGATTTGACAAAACCAATCTTTGTTGTTCTGTCGTTCTTAAAAGGTCAGAGTTTTGTTGATTGAGGGTGTCCTTTAACAGAGAGTTGACTGTACTCAATAAACCAAGGAAATTTTCTTAATGGAGTCATGCCATTATGAGGTAATGAAGAAGTTCAAAGTGTACAAGCCACTATGAGCCAACGAGAATGCAAATAAAAGAGGCATTGTGGTAAAAATGCTAAGTACACCATGTTCCCATTTGATTGGTTGATAGAAGGGTACAAGTTTTCTCAACCAATTACAAGGAAAAAAACTAAAGTGAAACCAATGCTATCTAAAATAATTAAGGATCATGTAATTATTGCCTAACATCAGAAGGCATATTCTCCATGCTGTTCTCTATACATTTCCCAAGGTGCTGACAAGGAGAATTTGTTTAATGGTCCAGAGCTACTTTAGTTGGTGATCATTTCCTTTAGTCTCGATACTCATGATCTTAAGTCAGTGGAGATACTGTAGGGAGAAATTAGATTCTGGTCACCCTTAGGAGTCAAAGGGTTAAACTTACCTCACTGGTACATTTTTGCTTTGCTGCCTCCCTTGCCAGTTGTTGTATATCAGGCTCAAAGCATAAAGTCTGAAACTGGAATGTTACAATCTTATTTTCCTTAATGTGTGTCAAAATAGCTTTTTTCAGTTCTGTTTCCTTTGATACAGAGCTATTTTCTGTTTGAAAATCTTTGAGTGAAGGAGTGAATGGTTCTTTGTAAACTGTGTTGCCAAGATTGACTGCTTCTAGCCAGAAGAGGACTTCAGCATTAGGGTCTTTCTCTGGATCTGATCACAGTTAAGTGTTGTCATTTATATATTAACTGTTCCAAAATGGTTTCCACAAGTGCAAACTTGGTTTTGTCGCAAAAGTGAAGATTAGAGATTGAAATATGCAAATCATGGGGTGCCAAACTGTCAGATTTTCCTGTCACCATTTATCTGGTAAGTAAATTGTTCTTTGATTTCCCGCCTACAATAGCATCTGATCTATTTTTAGGACTAGTGGAAAACATTAACAGGTTGTTGCTATTAACTGCATGAAGCTTTTTGACAAGACAGTTATTCAAGAACCTTATTTAATGTAATGACCCTTGATAAGATTTATTTGGAAGAGTATTTTTGAGTTTGTCAATAGTTTGAAAGAGCTTACAAACCCAGGGTAAAAATTAAGTGTAACTTGAACATAATACCCCTCCACTTGATATGGTGGGAGAGGAAAAGTACATATTTAACTCATGAATCAGGGGATGTCAATAAATTCTTGATAATGCTATCTAGCAGTTTGCTGGTCATAAAAAAAATCTTTGGTAACCTTGCAATGGACTCTCATACAGGGTGGAGTTGTAATACTCCTGATCACTTTATGCCACTTGGAAACCAAGATAAGCTCCGACTGGGTGGGCCAATATGCTGGAGTACAGACTTTACTGTTACCTTATTTGACCATCAGCAGCAACTAATAATTAGTCCTTGAAACTCCTTGAATATATGTTGTCTTACTGCATGCACCTAATTTAATTGTCTCTCATACCACATTTATGATGCAAAACAACAGTATAGTTTAATAGATAAAATGTTTGGATACAGATCAGATCAATAGTGAGTTGCCTCTGCTCTCTGAAAACAGAAATCTTTCCTTGCACTGTCACCAGCTGACCAAGGTCATAGGATTCTTGTCCAGTGTTAAGATCTTGGGAATGCCACTTACAACAGGAAATTGTGCCACTCCCATCATCAACTACATAGTTTGTCATGAAAAATGAATAAAAGGTTATTGTCAACAACCTCATTTTGCTCTGATGAATGATGGGGAAGGAATCATGATTCCAGCAAGGACAAAGAGAAAGGAGCAAGTCTTTGTTCCAAAACAGAGAGGTGGAATAACCAATGACATGTTCCTTTGCCATTTCATCAAAAATGTGTTTGAACCTAGTGTTTAACTATTCAAAAATCATATAGTTATGAGCTATCCAGGGCAAATCCTGTGCTCTGATTTACTACCCATGTGGACAAGATATTATTTTCCTCTCAACAAGTTCCTACTGATATCTAACAAAGAAAGTTATTATGCTTCAAAGTGTTTCCATTTCTTCTTTAACCACATTTTTGTAATGAAGGGGTTGCCAAAAATGTCTTATAGACAATCAAAACATTGAGGATATTACATGGCCACACGGGGATATGAATTTTAT